AAGAAAGAAAGAAAGAAAGAAAGAAAGAAAGAAAGAAAGAAAGAAAGTGAGCCAACACCCTGGAGCTAGCAATTTATTCCACTAACATTTGTAAAGTCTTCACATATTTGTGTGTGTGTGTGCGTGTGCTTGCGCACTCATGTGCACGTGTATGGGGGTATGGTGTATGCGCCACAGCACTTGTAGAGAGTTCAAAGGACAACTTGCAGGAGTTGATTGTCTCCTTAAACCATGCAGATTTGGGCCAAACTCAGATCAGGCTTGCAAAGCAAGAGCTTTATCTGCTGAGCCATGTCGCCAGGGCGCCCAGTTAACATTTTTATTGGGAAGGAAAAAGTCACAAAAGGCCTGGGGAGGTAGCTCAGTTTGGAGAGTGCTTTATCCATGATGGACAAGGCCTTGGATTGGACCTTGCATCACATAGCCCGTGTGTGCTGGCACACGCCTAAAATTCAAGCACTAGACGCACGGGTGTAGGAAGGAGAGTCGGAAGCTTATGGTCATCCTCAGCTATACACTGGGCTACGAGAGACTGTATTTCAAGAAAATAAAGAAAAAGGAAAAACCTCTGAGGCACCTTTTAAAGACAATAATTATTAAGGTGTACTTCTGCAATTTTGCTTGCTTTATGGCTTTAGGTGGATGGGTAAAATATAGCTAAAGCCTTTATACATACATGTATAACCTGACATTTTGGTTTGTGTTTTTGAGAATGGTCTCCCTATGTATGTAGCCTATCTCCTGTCTTAGGTCCCCCCAATTCTGCCTCAACCCTCCAAGTGATAGGATCATAAACATCAACCATCACAACCAGATTCAAACTTTGATTTTTAGTTACAAAACTAGGTGTGGTGGCACATACTTGTAAGTCCTGTACTTGAAGGTACAAATACCTATATATATGATAGACACAAACAATGAACTTTAAAAAATAATTAATATAATCAGTGAATAAAGCAAGAAGCAGGTAGGAACTCATTTTAATTAAAAAAAAAAAAAAGCACTCGGAAGAAAACAGAAAAAAACTAGAAACATTCATCTACCATACGCCTCTCTCTTCAACCCCACAAGGTCTCACCACATAGACCAGGCTGGCCCAGAATACAGATAAAAACTGCCTCTGTGCCCTAAGGATGGGATTAAAAACAAGCCACCAGGCCAGGGCTACAATCTCTCTATAGCAGAAGCTGTGGTAGATAGTCTGCAATGGGAAGCAAACAAATTTAATTAGACACATTACTGTTTCTTACCTAAACTTTCTCTGTGAACTTCAAGCAAAAAGCCATCATGGAAATCTGGTTCACAAGCACAGGGAACAGGCTTTGAGCGAAAACGCTGGTTCCGATAATGCAAACATAAGGTGAAAGTTGAACAGACTTGTCCAGGCAAAGGCTCAGGTTCTTGTAGGTGTTCCAAGAAAGCTTTTCCACCCAAAACCTGAAGGTAAAGATACCTCCGTGTTGGATCAAGATTAGCTGTAAAGTGTAGCAACATATGAGGAAACTGCCAAATAACCGAATGAATGTGATCAAGACATAATAAACAACTTCACAGAAATGTAGACAAGGTCTTAAATAAACAAACAAACAAATTTACTATGTAGCAGAATCATTTGTTAGGGGAGGAGAGAGATGATACTTTTCTGAACTGACAATCTCCCTACTTTTAAAGGAATCAAGTCAAGGTCAGGTGTACCTTTGCTTTCTAGCTGTTTAGAAAGCATGTAATAACCTTCACAGGCCAACTCAGAAGGTAATTACCAACTTAGTAACTGCATTTGTCAGATAATTACTATTAGAAAAGCAAACATACAGCTTTATTTTATTTTACTTTTTGTCTTTGAGACAGGATTTCTGTGAATCCCTGGCTGGCCTGGAACTCATTATAAAGACCAGGCTAGTCTCACAGAGCTCACAGAGATCTCTCTGCCTACTTCTGCCTCCAGAATGCAAGGATTAAAGGTGTGTACCATCACATCTGGCCTTACAGTTTTTAAATATATATATATCACCAAAACATAAAAAAACTCAATGTTTCTGGTTTTGGACTAATAGTACTGTTGGGGACCACCTTGGCTACAGAGATTCTATCTTGTATAGTCTCCATTCTGTACTAAAATAACTTCCCAGAAACACCTTCAGGGTCAAATTTCTCACACATGTCTAGACCATCAATGCTTTCTTGGTTAGCACCCAGCTGGGACCAACATCTAGCAGCTGCTGAATGAGCTCTGATTGGCTGGTATCAATCCAGGTCAAGCTAGCAAGGAGACACTTGATGTGTAGGAAGCCACTAAAGATACCAGCTGTGATCCATACAATGTATGTATGGACCTGATTGGATGTCCCCACCTCACCTAATCTGTGGGGTTTGCCTTAAAAAGTTGTCCTGCTCTGCCCTTGGATGACACAATTTGGATCCCAAACCCAGTTGTCTCCCTGACATGTCAACTTTTAAATATACTTTTCGCTGGCTCGAACTTGGTTTTCATAGTGGATTATTTCCCAAGTCCTCGAACCCTAACAGTACCATACAGTAAATCTGATATATTTCATGAAAAACTGCATAAGGACTTCATTTTGAAATGAAAAACTTGAACTATTTTCTATCAAATACCAAATACTACCTTATATTCATTATCAACCATAACCAAATTTATGTTAAAAATATATGTGTATACATACTTTTTTTTAACGTTGATTGCTTATCAAAACCAACAGTTTGCTTTGGAGAGGAAGAGGGTTCTTGATCAACACTGTCCTAGAAAAGTTAGAGAGAGAGAAAAAAATTAGACAATAAAAATTCTATTTAAGAAAATGGCAGTGACAGAAAAAAACAATATAGGATTAGGCTCTTTCAAAAAGCCTTCTACTTAACTGTGGTCATGGTTCACACCTTTAATCTCAGCACCTGGGAGGCAAAGGCAGGTGGATCTCTGTGTGTTCCAGGCCAGCCTGGTCAACAAAGAGAGTTTGAGGACAGCCAAGGCTCTGTTATACAGTAAAACCATGTCTCTAAAAACCATGGGGCGGGGGGAACCTTCTATTCTAGGGAGAGAAGCAAGGTTAGGACACACTGCTTCCATAGTAAAAAAAATAAAAAATAAATAATAATAATAATAGATAATAAAAATAACGCCTGCAAAAGAGATCTAACTGGGAGAAGTCTAATTAGCTTTTGCTATCCACTAAATGCTAAACATATATAGACCAACTCAGAGGTATGCCTGTTTCCACCTCCTAAGTGCTGAAACTAAAAGTATGAGGCACTAAGCCTGGCCTTAAAAACAAATTAATACCTTAAACAAGGCCAAGCTTCTCTATATAACATTTGGCTTTGGGGCACAGTGGTGCAAGCCTTGCTCCCAGCACTTGGGACGCACAGGCAGGTAGATCTCTGTGAGTTTAAGACCATCCTTGTCCTTACCTCTGTGAGTTCCAGGACAGCCAGAGCTATACACTGAGACACTATCCCATTTAAAGAAAAAAATTCCACCATGGACTAATTTTTTAAAAGTAACATTCATTCAACAGAGGCTGTTACTAGGTCAGTTTTTATAACAAATGGGTTTGCAAGCCTCAAAACCCAAAAAAGGATGGTGTGTTAAAGAACCCAATTCTCTAGGGTATTATGAAGTCCATCCTATTTTTAGTAGATCACTCCTTGCATTGAGGTCACAGTTTTTCATTATTGCCTCATTTTCAAAATAAGGCCCACTTACTAAATGCACCAGGAGATTTCCCACTACTGACCTATTTGTACAGAGATCCGAGAAGTTTTATGAAGTCAGTTCTTACATTACAGAATTTCTTACATGTGTCTGTTTTAAAAAACAGCCCTAATCTAAATAAATTATAGATCTACAGAATAACAAGAGAAGTTTGTCACTTCAGGGAAAGAAACAGAGTGTGTGCCTTCTATCTCATCAGCACAATCTGTCAACTCATGGTGGGGCCAACCTAAAACCTGAGAAAAGGAGCCAGGGGGTGGTGATGGTAAACACCTTCTATCCCAGCACTCAGGAAGCAGATGCCAGCCTGGTCTACAGAACAAGTTCCAGGACAGCCAGAACTACACAGTGAAAGCCTGTCTGAAAAAACAAACAACACCTGAGGAAGAGACAGTACAGGGGCTGCAGAGATAGCTCAGCACTTGCTGCTCTTGCAGAGGACCTCCAACACCCTAATGGTGGCTCACTCCAGTTCCAGGAGATCAGAGCCCTTCCTGACCAGCCTGGGCACCAGGTGCAAGTAGTACACAGACTTGCATTCAGGCAAAACACCCATACACAAACAAAAGTCTTTTTAAAAACTAAGAAAAATGGCTATTAATAGACAGAATGAACTTACAGTGGCTTTACAAAATCAAGTCCATGGGCCCTATAAACCGTTAGACACAAGCACATATTCACACTTTCACTGTTTACCTAGAAAATTACTCACAGTCACAAAATTAAGTTCTTTCATTACATCGTCGATGATTCCTCGCCGTCTGAGCGCTTTGATCAGATCTTCTGTTGACAAATGTTGTTGATCAGGTGCCAATTCTTCCCGAATAGTCTCTGCAAGAATTTCCCTTATTCTGCCATGAACATCCATCTATGGAGAAAACTCATATTACAACTTAGAACACTGCGCCGGGGTTTTGGCGGTGCACACCTTTAATCCCAGCACTCTGGAAGCATAATCTGTGGATCTCTGAGTTCCAGGCCAGCCTAGTTTGGGTTACACAGAGAGAAACACTGTCTCGAAAAATAACTTACAACATTATAATGCTGTTAAATACCACTGCTACAGTTTTAGGCTTCTAAAGTTTTAGAACCGCCAATGCCAATAAAATTAAGTAATGAAACTTTTGAGCAAAGTACTAGAAGCAATCTGAACTTGTTGGTTACCAACTAAACTACCTTTATTGCTGGTTGCCCACAAATAATTCAGTGAAAGCAACTCTTTAGAGAGAGAGTGGAGGATAATCAAAAGAACACAGACCTGGAAGAAGACAGAACAAAGAGCGAGTTGTTTCAGCTTTCCGCTTATTCGATTTACAACTCTAAACTAATTTGTCGGCCTATTTCCTTGCCTATACGATGGAAAAGCGAAGACTGTTTTTGAGGATTCGACAAAAGAAGCTAGCGACCCTAGCGCACAAACACACCATAAAGAGGCTTTATTACTTCAGCTTCCAGCCAACAGTCGAGCGCCGCTGGAAACTCGCCGTTCTCCTCGAAGCCCGGAGTAGGGTAAATGCGTTCCTTGTCAGTCATCTGAGAGCCCTGTCTGTCTCCCGTAACTTCTTAGGGTAACTGGGGCTCCTGGCTTAAAGCAGCCCTGACATCTCGCCTCGGGACTACTTGGACGCGGTCTTCTGGAAATCACAGACCACCGCCTCCGTTTTGCAGGCCCCTCCACACCAGGGGCAGGGCTCTCAGCGCTCCCTCGGCGTCTCCTAACCGACCGAAGCTCGCCTCCCGCACCGGCTCCACAGCCCAGGCTCGGGCCCCGCCGACAGCCCGGGGCTGGGCTCGGGGCCGGTCCGCCCGCCCTCCTCACCTTGCTCAGCTGCTGATGGATGAGCTGCTTCAGCTCCGAGGCTTTCTCCGGAGGCAGCGACATGAAGGCGCTGGAGCTTCGCGGCCTCTACTCGCCGCCTCACACGATGGAGCCGAGGAGCCCGTCGTCCGGACCGCGCAGCATCAGTGGCGGGCGGAGCACAAAGCGGCGCGGCTGGACGGACGCGTAAGACCTGGCAGGGCGGGAACGCTGCTGCTGGGGCGCAGCAGCTTAACTGTTTTCAAACGGAGAGGGCCGACAGACGCAGAGGCTGTCCTCCGAGATGCCTGGCCGGCGCCGTGCACCGCGCCGCCTCCTTAGGGACCTCGAACGCGTTGTCCTCGCGTCTTCCGTCTCCGGTCCTCGACCTACGTACCCTGGAAGCGCCGCCCGCCTCGCGCTCGAGGCCTCGTTCCGCGCTGCGCACAGGCAGAGCGCCGGTCACCCGGAGAACACGGCGGACCAGAAGGACCCCGAAGGACCCCGACCGCTTGGGAATTCCGCCTTCTGTCCACGGAAGTGGTCTCGCTTTTCGGGCCGGCGCCTGTGAGTTCTTCCCTCCCGCTCCAGACATGTTCGTCCCCTGCGGGGAGTCGGTCCCCGACCTAACGAACTTCACACTCCTGATGGTGAGTCTCCACTTGAGTTTGGCGCTGTCGCCACACAGACCAGGGAAGCGCCACCTGGCCTTAAGAGACTCGGGCACGTGTTTCTGCTGCAGGCTTTAAGCCTGAAAATCAAAACAAACCAAACCAGGAGGTTGTCGCTGCAGGCGGCCGTCCACTTTATTAGCGCTGTCTGCTAATTATTAGGCTTGTCTGCTAGCTGAAGCCTTCGCTGCTTGTCAACTGCAGTGACTATGTGGCATGTCCAGTAGACTGTAATTCAAAAAACTCTTGTATGGGGTACAGGTAGACATTTGGCACTTTGACGCCGTGGGACAGTATCTGTGTGTGTGTGTGTGTGTGTGTGTGT